CTAACAACACTAAAATTAAAAGAAAATAAGAAATTAAAGTGAGAAGGCTAACTTGAACAGATAAGTTTTGAGTTGTGATTTGAAATGATCAGTTTCCATCATTTTACTCCTTATAGGTATATATTTGAGTAAAATGAACATTCTATGAACTACTGACAACATGACTCTGAAAATCCAAGCAAAAATTTAGTATTCATTTGCTGAAAATGAAAAATGGTCAAAATGACGACAAAGATGCAGTGCTTTCACATCTTTAATAATGCACAGAAAACAAGTTAATATTCATTTAAAAAACAACAATACTAACATTTTAACTGTGGAAGAGCTCAGAAATCAATATTTGGTGGAATGTTTTTTAACCAAATACAGGGAAACTGTACAAAGGTTTCTTATATTTTTCCAGGGCTGTATTTTCTATTTACATAGAAAACTGGAGTTAAAGGTAGTTTATTGTATTTTAGACTAAATGTTTTATTGCTCACAGGCTCTGTCACACTATGACCTATGAAAATTTTAGGGTGTATTTACACCTGACACATTTGGTTCACTTTAAAYGGACCAGAGTTCTTTCCCCCCATTTGTCTGGAGCTTTTATGCAGGTGTGAATACACTCATGTGAACCCTGGTGTGCATCAAACAACTGGACCGAGACCCATTTTTGAGGTGGTCTCGGTCCACCCAAACAAATTCTGGTGGGAAAGCAGAGCGTCTCGTCTCTTTTAGGTTGCAACATGCATTTGACAACGCTGTCCCAAAATTATAAGTGTATCATCGCAAAACCTCCACTGAATGAGCTGCTCTTGATATTTTTAATWGTCAGTTGTACAAACAGCCTTGGCTGGGTGTGTGCGAGTGTAGATGTGTGTTTGTTTGTTCRTCTGTAGAGTTAGCAGAATATCTCCTGAACCAGTTGACAGATGCTAAACTTTCAGGGAACTAGTTATTGGATGCACAGCTACAATTTATTAACATTTGGAGTCAATTGTCTGTCACAGCAAAATAWCCTTAGCCAACACATAAATGGCTAGAATTTTACAAATGTAATRAATCAAGTTTGGTGTGGGAGTAGCTGAGCACCTTTCACAACAAATACTCAGAGCACTACACATTGTGAAACATTTTTACCATTACMTGTTTGTCTGTTAGCTGACATAGAAAAGATGATGCAGGGGTCACCAACGTTTTTGAGACCAAGAGCTACTTCAGTGGTACTGAGTAATGCAAAGAACTACTTATTTGATGCAAACTTAAATTTGCATGGATCACCTTTAATGACATTGTTAATGATAATAAATGTTTATGTGAACATTTGACTGCCTATTACATCATAAAGTTCAGGACTCCTTAAGATAAGTATTACAATCATTTGCGGTGGCAGATATGATAAAGCATTATTATTAATAATAAGTAATTTGAACTCTGTGCAGCAGCAGATGTATCTTAGTTCAGGTTTTTCAGTTTGAATCATTTTTGGAGCTCTTCTGTGCAACTTTAGGTGTGACAAGGAGTGTGCATAGTTGTCTCTTTGTAGACTGGAGACCTGAGAAGCCCCGCCCCCACCCTGATTAGGAACAAGGAGGACATAATGGATGGATGTTTTTTTTCTCAATAAAGCAGGCAACTAATATTTAAACATAAGATATTATTTATGTTAATCTCAATCAGTAACATTTATAATTCACTGTATTATGTAAATATATTTGACAGATTTGTAGGAATTAACACATTTGTAACATTTATTCAAAATGCATCTGTTTATTATTAATTACCAACTTCTGTATCATTTTTTAAAACAAATTGTTAACAATAAAATCTTCAACTCATGCCCTGTTTGTACGAACTCTTGTAGATACACAATATTAATTATGTAACAAATAAAAAAAAACAAATATAGAAGAAAAATTTCTCCCAACACTGAAAATAATTTGTTTTCCTGCATTTTAATGCTAGTTTACACCCTTGCTCAGAGAGGTAAACAGACTGAATATCTGTGCCCTTAAGGGTTAATTTTCATCACAAAGTGATCTTAGTGAAAAACTGACATGAAAGGCARCAGMGAAACAATATGCAATCCTTCAAGGAATGGCAGGCCTTTAATCTTATAGGATGTTTTTATGTGAACACGGATTAACTACATGCTGGGTTGTTGCTGCAAATAAAACGGTGCTCATGGCTCTGGGACAACTGCAGTTGCTAAGAAACAAAAGGAGGAGAAACCTAAACCAYAGGCCAATTTTATATTGATAGAAAGATACAAAAAAGACATCATGAATAAAATGTACACATCGCTGATATCTGTCAATCACTCAGGCAGTAGGGAGAAAAAACTAAAAAAAATKACATGCACACAAAGATGCTTACAAACATCTCATTCCAGACAGGTAACCTTACCTTGGTGGTTTTGACTTTGTTACCGGTGCTGCATGACCAGCCAGTCAGGTCAGGCAGAACTTTGCACTCCTCTCCGTCCATACAGGGCTGCATTTGGCACCACCACTTCTGGGCTACAATGGATGCTGCAGCGGAGAGAGGAGATTATTTGAAAAAGAGGTTTAAAGAGTATCATATAATGTAATTAAATACTGCTTATGACAGTATTTAGAGAACACAGAGCATTARCATCTATGGAAAATAGAGCATTAGGAGGTGACAATGCTTAACTAATCTCATTCATGTGCAGATGGCAGACATTATGTTTCTTTRGAAAAGCTAAAAAGATGTCAGGACTATTGCATGATTTCTTATTAAAGGTATAAATGACACAGACTCTGAGCCCATGAGGCAGATTGTACAGGCAGAACGAYGACAGGATCAGCACCATGGACAGCACACATGGGCAGCAGTGATTCTCTGCAAACCTCTGAATGTGATGCCGCCAAACGGAGATTGGGTTTTTTTTATCCCTCTTACAGCAGGTTTGAACATGAATGAAATCTCCAAGCACAGCAGAGTGAAAATAGCATACAGGAATAGTGGCTGGTTGACAATTTTTATTTTATTTTATTTTTTTATTTTTTTGTGCAAAGTATGTGACTTTGAATGTTGTTCCCTGAAACGCACAGGAAACCTTTGCTTATCATCTTACAAGCGTCTTGTATGATCAGCAAAGCACAAGGTGAGGTGAGACAATCAGTAGTTTATAACTTGTTTTCTAGAAGCCAAAACAACATATTGACTCTTCAAATCTATTGTGTGATGTTTGCAGAAATCAAACACACACTCTGGGACACCTCACTTGTAATTCATGCAGCACCGTGATAAAAAAAAGGTAAAAATTAAAAAAAATGTTCCGATTCATACTAAAATCAAAAACAAACCTTGAAAAGTTCATTCATAGATATTTACAGGAGCACAAATTCAGGGTTTGTGGGCCAAATCTGGTCCTCATTACTGTTTTATCTGGCCTAAAAAGTAATACTTGTGTGTTAATTGTTGAGCTTGATTGGGCTGAATCTTGTGATCTGTGTTGTGAAAACATTATCAGATGATGTTTTGTTTTTGAAAAGATTTACAAATGTTCCAAATGACTGACTTACCCTTGACAGAACTTTGTGCATTCTTAGTTTTTTCTTTAATCTGCCTCCACAAGGACTTAAATTTGAGGCTGGGAAGTATGAGAAACACCTGTTTGTTTAGTTTGGCTCCAGTACAGGAAACACAACAGACAGATAACATAAAACATGTCTAAATAAATCCAAGTTTTCTCTGCTTGTGAACCATCCCCTGCCCTGTTCTTCTTCTTCTCCCAAYGTTGCGTAACTTTTGCATCATTATGAGTGAAACGCTGGTGTTTCATGCTTCACCTCAAGCGTTTAACCTCGTTTTGTGAGAAAACCACTACACRTCCTCTGAGATCAGCTTTAATTTCACAGCAGTTTTGCTAAGTGGAGTCCTGTAGCTTTTATTGCCCCAAACCTGTCTCTTTTGGCTTTTAGCACACAAAGATTTAATGTATTGATTTTGTTTGCTTCTGGTTTGCCAGTCTTAGATTCCCCCAGACTATCCTTTCAGTCATCTTAGGAGATCTCTTCTTTGCTGAAAATCAAAGCRCGCTGCCTGAAACGTTCACATCTTGTCATTTTAATGTGCTGAAAATGTTGACAGCATTAGGCCAACACTGTGTGGCATGGCCGTGTTAATATCAATTGTCTATCAGTTGATATACCGGTACTTGTTTGCGYTGCAGCTGAGTTAAGTTTCATCAGAACACAAGCCCCATTCACACGGATTCAGAGTGGACTTCACAAAAGCAGAAGAAAAGCATGGGGAAACATAAAATCTATCTGGAGCCACAGCTAATCTCGAGTTAAAACCCAAAGACTTATCATGCCTCAGAAACTGACACTGAAATCCTGCAGCTCATCTGACCCTCTGTTGAGTCGGTAAACAGCTCGACAGCTGAGAATAACTCACATCCTTTTTTTCTAAACATATCTATTTTCCTGATGGCCCCAGAGAGGTATCAAAACAGCAGAGACCCCTCCTCTCCAACTTCATCAAGGTGGTATGTTGAYGAAGTTTAAAAAGACATTTGATCTCTGGTGACTATTGTTTGCAGCAAAGGAGGCAGAACAAGCAGGCGTTGGAAGAAAAATACGCTTTTGTGCATAGAGACACGGTTAAATCCCCTCAAAGCATCACTTAGAAAGAAAACACTGTAACTAAAAGAGAGAGTAAGCAGAGGGAGGAAGACGAGGCGAAATAATAGGTTTTCACCAGTAAAACATCTCTAGTGAGAAAAAGAGTACAAAAGAGAGCAGGGTGTGAAGTAAAAAGACCATTTGCGGAAGACAATCGCTGATTCTGGGACTGAAAAGAGCAGATTAAAAAAAGTAAAGGAGAGCAACAAATTGAAGCAGAGTGGAAATAAATGAGGGGAAAGTTGTTAGGTCACTGCAAACAACTCATGTTGCTATCAGAAAGTGTACTGTTGAGCACACAGATACTGTATGATGTATGAGCTTAATGGCTGTAAGTGCCTGTAAAAACCAATGGCCATGTAATGCTCATTAATGTGGCCGCTACAGTGTCAACAACTGGGCTCTGCAGGGCTGCAGAGTTATATATGGCTAATAGGCATGGCCTCTGAGCACTTTGATGGCGTTCCCTCTGCCTTATCTCATGCAGTTACCAGAAGGGGGTGTGGCTGACCCAGGAGAACCTGACTGTCATGTCAGAAAATGGACAGGGGTGGGGCCATGATCTGTGATGTCATGGATGAGCCAGATGTTGGACAACACTCAAAGACGAGTGCCAGCAGGTCAATGGAAATGCAATTACATTAGTCACCAGAGGACAACGCAGCAGCTCCGGTCCCTGGGAAATACATTATCTCAATTGTCCAGAGCGCTTTCATTTGAGGCTGTGACTAATAATGGAGATACTTCTATTTTCAGATAGGAGAGTGAGGATGGGATTGGGTAAGTTAATTTCCTGCACCTTATCTCACGCTGTTTCCACAAGGGTGGCAGGAGGGAGTGGGCAGGYGTGACACTAGAGCCTGGCTGTCGAGTCAGAAAATAGACAGGTACTTGTACCTGACCTGTGATGTCATAGATGTTATTAAGAGGCAGATATCAAAAGGTGAAAGACAATGATTACAGGCACATACGGTTACCTCTGATAAATTCYGAATATAAGTGATGATTAGTCACATTAAAACCTGAAGCATAGAAACCATGAGGCAAGTCATTACAGCTGTAAAAAAAATTGTCTGGATCAGTGCCTGTGCAAAAAGAAACTGAAGCACAAAGACAGAATCAGCAAATCAGACTTTGTCCAAAACTAAGTCATCTCATGTCTTGTTATGTTTTAGGCCAGGGATGGGCACCACAATGCGGCCTTGCCCCACTGATACACGTTTTTTGTTTGTTTGTTTGTTTGTTTGTTGTTTTTTTGTGGGGAGATGGACTACCTGTTCATAGAATTTCAAGACAAACCAATATGTTCAGTCTGCTCAGTGATGTCTGCCATGAAGGATTTTAATAGAAGTGGCCGCTACATCATGATGCATAAAGCAAAATATGAGTCGCCCACTGAAGTCACAAGTACATAAACAACAGGGACTTTTCATCAGAACCACAACTTCACAGGAGTCTGCATTTAAGGTGTTTTGTGCCGTTACACTTCAACTCACTAAAGTGTTTGTCTTTTGTTTGCTTCAAACAGTTTGTGTTTAAGTTTAAGAGTACAACTGTTAGAGCATGAAATATGTTAAGTAACTGCTCTGAATTACATTTTGGTAAGTGTACAGCACTATGTGGCCGTCTGGTACTGTCAATAAAAACTTGTGTCCCCTTCCATCAATTAGGTTGCCCATCACTGTTTTAGGTTATCTGACTGAAATCCAGTGCCTCGAAATGAAGCAAAAATTATTTAAAAAAAAAATGGATGAGTGGAGATTGACTCACTTCACAGTGCTGACATGAGGCTTTCAGAGACAAGGAGACAAAACAAAAAATCATCTTCTTGGTGTTTTGAAATAAATAAACAAGATATAACTTCTAAATGCTTTTTACATATGCAAAATTCTTTGAAGGGATTGACATATATTCAGCTTAAATCATCCGAATGTGTCATTTATATAAGCACAAAATTAACTGATCCAGACATGACGAGTGTTTCCATGCACCAAGCTTTTTCAGAATAGAAGTACTGACATGTAGAGTTGTAAAGTTTCCCTAAAAAAAACACAGAAGAAGAATCTACTTTTTTGGTGAAGTAACGTAGCTGTTTGTTTTCCTTTTTTTACCAGATGAGAGAGTGGGAGGAAATAAACATCCTTGAAAGTTCTGCGCTGCTGTCCCACTGGCCACAAAGACCAGAAACCAGTGGATGAAAGTCAGAAGTCATGTAGGTAGTTTTCCACAACCAGAGCATGATCAGAATAACTGTTTACATGCAAGGCTGTTTGGATTATCAATCAGCAAAAACCCCTCCTCTCATTCTGATTACAAATTCATTCCAGTCAAGCTGAATCAGATCAGAATATTCTGATCCATGTACATGACACAATTTTACTCCAATTGGCCATTTAATCTGACTACCCTTACCAAAAAGTATTAWATGCAAGTAACATTTAGGTATACTAATTTTAAACTAAAAAATAAGAGTATTCTTCCAGTTTACTTTTTAGGTACTTATCTGAGATGTATTAAACCAGGTTTATCTYACACTRTACTTAGCTTGTACTAAAAATATACTAAAAGTCTAAGTATGCTAGTCTATGTTTCTGTTTAAACTTTTGGCCAAGTTAAACTTAAGTAGGAGTACWMTGAAAGTACATTKTCACACAGATTGGTATATTTGTAGTATATTTCAAGATGTCCTGTTTTTACATAATTTCTTATCAGTTTTTKGAACAAATGCAACAATAGAAACTACAAGTGAGCTGCTGCAAGGAAAACTATCAACATTTGAACAATTTAACAATTTCACACAACAGCTCTGTTTCAGTGGACTGTTCTATGCACTACATGCCAAGGTCAGAGTGAGTTTTAATTTGACTGGAAATGTT